GAACTAGTTGCTTGCGAATCGCGTGACGAATTTTGCACATATACTATAGAAAATTGAAGCACTGGGGTCGAGGATGGGTTGGAATTCTTGTCGCGACCTCTAGCAGAAATGGCCAATGTTTGTCTGAATCTCCTGTACTGTCGCAATTTGTAATAATCATAACTAAACTTTTTTTTTCATCAACGTTGATTGGTTATCTGACTTACGAAATTCTGTATTCTTAAACCTTACAATTGTACTACATGGTTACCCGGGGGAGGCGGGGGCGTACTCCCTTATATGGCCAATACGGGGATGTGCCTCAAGACACAGCATAGCCTCCCCGCAGACGTCCTTTGGGGTTCGTTCGTCACACATGGGGGCGAACCCTAAAGGAAGTCTGTGGGGAGGCTAGACACAGCATTGTACGAGTACAAAATCTAGACTCAGTAGACACAAACGAGCTATCATTAAAAGGCATTTAATTTCCACAAATCGTAACATCCATCCTGACATCATTCAAGTAAGGACACTAGGAAAGTTCAAGCTTTCCTTTTTAGATCTTATAACAGGTCGACACAACACCGTCCTTGTCTAACGCGCAATCTTAGGGAAAGTTCATTTAATATGACAAGGGGGGGGGGGATGAAGATGTTGAAACTCAAAGCTTGAAATTTTAGCAGCCCCCCTCGCTAGCGGTTCAATTCTTTAGGAGCCCCCTCCTTGGTAGTCGAAAAAATTTCAGAGCCCCCCCCCCTTCAATTCCTTTGCTCCCCTGAAAAAAGATCGCTAGACTGTATTAAATATATTTACCATTATTGTCTTCAATGGTTTATACTATGACAAACTTGAGATACAGTTGTGATACAATTTTCTAAAGCGTTTTTGGGATGAACAAGAGTGTAATAATTACCGAGACTACATTTGTTATATCTGTAAACCACGTGATATAGCTGAGTTGCACAGGTCATTAAATTGTTGAGTTGAAAACCATCCGATCTGTATGATGATGTCATGTGTTGGTTTTGAAGTATACAAATTTTCGGAGCCCCCTCCTAGCGCAACAATTTTTTTTTTCAGAGCCCCCTTCGGGTGTTCAAAATTTTCGAGCCCCCCTCAATATCTTCATCCCCCCCCCCTTGTCATATTAAATGAACTTTCCCTTAAAAGAAGTAATAGTGGCTTCCATATTTTGACCAACTTAATCAGGCGAGGCCTGTAACACTGTCGAACCACAACAGAAACATAAACACGAAATCCGATTAGTCGCTGGCCAATACCTTTGTATGTACCTGGGGCGGGGGGTCATACACTGTGCCGGCTGACCATTTGGTCCATTATTCTCTCTTGATTTGGTCTCACATAGGAGCAAAGGAGTATCATTCCATCTTAAAACAATTTTTTTCTATGGGGCCCTCTAAGTCAAATACCGTGGGAATAGTAAAAAATTCTCCTTCCCCGCGTACAACACGTAAGACCTTGCAATTCTTCCGAGAGTGCTCAGGATTACTTTTTTCCACAAAATGGAAAGGATAGTAAACCAAATCATCCATTACTGCTTGAATTACCCTATCTAAGGACAAAGACACAAAGCCAACAAGGTAAAAAATGATACCCTATCTAAGGTTAGCGATCCTCAGCGATACTTACCTACCTCGCCCATATATGGGATTTCCCCTCCCCCCCAAGACTTCACGTGTCACGTGGCAAGTAAACTGAACATGGATTTGGACGACGAATGCCAGGGTATTTTGAATTCAAATATATGAAATGATTCATATCCTTTTTTTGGTGACATGTCACAGGAAGTTTCATGTCTTTCATAAAAAAGTGATTCTCGTTGGTCACGTGATTAATCAAGGCAAAAAGACATGCATGTTTGATGTTGCATGTTTCATGCAGGTATTACATGTTTGACCAAAGAAAATAATTTAAGTTTATAACAAAGTGCGATGGAATTTTTACAAATTGCGACAGCTTAGTTTATTACAAAGTGCGATGGACAGTATTACAAATTGCGACAGCTTTTTTATTACTAAGTGTGACACGGTTTATTACAAATTGCGACAGGTATTACAAAGTGCGATGATTATTACAAATGCGAAAGTACAGGGTCACATTTTTGTGACGTCATCTGTGCGCAGCGCTATTTAACCTTTTGGCCTCTCAAAGTTGATTGATTGATTGATTGTTGCTTTCAATTTTTTATTTAAGACGCCCAAGAAATGTCAGTTTCATGTTATTGGCAAAAAATAGATGTAGTCTCTTGCTTCTTATCATTTTTCGTCATCATTTGAAATTAAGATGTTGGCAAAATGTACCAGGAAAAATGGTAACACACCTCCTCGTGTGGCCAGGTGTGGCATCTTCTCCTTTTCTCCCCTCCAGCCCTCCCTCTTTTTAGAAAAACAGCATGCACCACGAAGCGATCGAAGAGAATTTCTCCCGCTCTCTTGTCAGACTTGTGAAGCTTTTTCCTGAAGCGCTTTTTTGAGATAGTTCACCAGTCGGACTCTCCTTTTTTCTCGGCATAATATTCCAGAAAGCTCATATATACCTGGATTTTTGAAAACCGGGTTAGCAAAAATATCAAGTCATTCTACTACTTGGCAATTTAAAACAACAAAACTCATTCAAAGGCCGATTAAAAGCCTTTATATGACGCCGGGCAGTGCGTTAATGGTCCCTAGAAGCATTCCAACGAGTCCAAATTTAGAATGACGCAAATTTTAGAACATTTATTCAGTAAACTGACTACGCGAAGTTTCAAACCGGTGTCATTTCAGTCTAGAAATTTTTAAGTTGAGTAAGCTGCAGCGAAAGAGTGCCTGGTTAAGGCTTACATAACAACTTAAATAGTTAGCAAAACACTACTTTTTTGGCGGTCCGATAAACAACAAGATTCCGCATGGAATAGACTACAAACTGAATGAAACATAGTGCACAAATTATCACCTTCTTGTCTGCAAAAACCGGCCTATGGTGCAATGCCGTTAGAGCCTGCTGAAACTAGACCTAGATCTAATTTTCCTGAGTCGAGGGCTGCTTTTCCAAGGTACAATCAGCTAAACACCGACGAAACAATATTAATGGCTGGCACAGAATATTTTGGCGAAACCGCAGTTCAACCACGCAATCACATACCTGTCAACAGCATGCGGAACTCACACAATCCCACACTTTCGCGGCACTGATAAGACTATCCACAACCACGCATAATCTTCTCACGTTTAACATAGGCGAAATATCATCGAATAACTCGGAAAAACTCAGCCTATTGCCAGATAAACACCTCTGGACCTTTCTCTTACACTCGTCTTATGCAAGTTCCCGGATGTAGAGTCACACAGTCGGCGGATCACCTTAGCCTTGTTTTCACACCAGAAAAATACTAACTCTTGGCCCGGGTCAAAGTTTAGTTGCAATTTTGCTCTCAACTAATTCATTTGACTCCTAAGAGCCTGTTCCCGAGGCCAAAGACTTAGTGGTCACCTTAGAAAAGCGAACAATAACGTACCTTTCTGTCTCAGCCCGGATCAGGGAGATTAATCCGTTTAGCCAAATGAAACGAGAATATAATACGATATTGGACGATGCAGACTCTGCGAATCGTAATAACTTTGTCCCATCTCAGAGCTTTACATGATGCTCTCCGGGAAACTTTTCTCAAGGTGACCAATATATAAAACTAAACTGCTAAACAGCACCGAAACCAGCCTTAAGCGCCCCCTGATTTCAAACCGATAACTGTCACTTGTGTTAAAGAAAGAATTGTGTGTAGGGAAAAAAAATGGGGGTTAGATAGTAATTCTGTCTACATCCACTTCTACACAAATCTCTAACCACAAGACAAGCCAAAAAAACAAACGACATAAGCAAACAACACAGTAAACAAGCTATTAGACAGCGGAAGTTGAGAAAAATAACAAAATGTTTGTTAACCCGGTTTTCATAACTCCAGGTAGATATATGTCCTAGAGAATGGAAGTTGACAAATGTATTTTTTGTGGTTCAGTTTTATCTTTGGTTGAAATTTTCTTCCCTCGAACCATTTTTTGTCGCTGGGTGGGGGGGGGTTGTATGATTTTATAAACAAAAGAAAATAAAATTTAGACCAAGGATAAAATTCAGCCACAACATATTGATTCTTATCCGTCCGGTCTAGTACTAAATCAGATGATGGGCTGAGATCTTCCTCCTTCTCAGGTGCTTCGTAATTTTTCCACATAGAGGCGAACGCGAAACGCCAGTGACTGGTGACGAATCGCAATGGACCAAGGGAAGGAGAAACAAGAGAGGTGCTCGCCCTTTTTCTCCTTCTCGCCTTTCTTTGCGCGCAAATTTTCATCGAAAGAGAGAGACGTCTGGGTACGAGGCAAAAAGTTTCATCTCCCATTTGAATGTCACAGCCAGTTTGCCGTACAATTAAGTTAAAGTTTACAAAGACAAAATGCTGGATAAAGGAAACAATCTTCATTTATTCAATTCTTCCCTCTGGTTTTGACAACATTTTAGAACTCTTAAAATCCTAAAGCGTACTAATTACAATCGGCCTCTCAATCAAAAACTACATAACTTCGAGACTAAAAGAAAACTCGAGCAAAATGGACTGTGGCTGGCCGGGCAGGTTGGGTTTTTCAACTCTTACGCTTCGTAGATAAACTTTAAGCTCAGCCATTTGTCGTTTTCTCCCACCGAGCCCGTGTCCGTGCGGTTTAACTTTTCACACCACTCTCCTCGTTTCATAGTTTTATAATTGCCTTTAAAATTGGTTTTGTCGTACAAACGTACGGACCGGTTCTTAGACAGCACGATACCAGAGGAGATGCCTGAAGGTGGTTGTCCTAAGAACGTATTGGTCAGATCCTCCTGATCGTCTCGAAACCACTACAAGAAAATAATAATAATAATAATAATAAAAAGATAACACTCAGATTATGTCAGTAAAGATGATCGTGAGGTTTGGATCAGCATTAGACTATTCTTATCTTAAATGCAACACGGCTAGAAACTGAAAAAAAAAAGACTAACTAACCAAGCTGGAATTCACCCTCCAGGGGGTACTCCCTATAGTAACCTATGCGGGGGAGGCTACGCCCGAATGATGTACCTTTTTTAGGCTTTAGGTATTTGAAAGGGTAGGGATTTTACCCGGGGGTGGGGTGCTCCCTTATATTTACTTTATAGCTGCAGTTTATAGGTATGTGCCCCATTAGCTATATTAGCTCTAAAACCCAAGTTGTTTAAATAAAAAAAGATGGTGATGATGATGCTGTGCCACCCCAAAGGGTCTAAACGCTTAGAGCCAGGTCATATTTAGAAGGATTTGTATGGAGTCATCAGAGCCTAACTGGACCAGTATCTAAGAGACAATTTGCCCCGAAATGCTAATTTTTGGCGAGTAGGCGTTTTGGACATTGTTCTTTCTGAATATCTTGACAAATCCTATAAATTCCCAAATTTATATTTTTTTGACCTCATCACTTTAGAACTCTATTTCTATGGTTATGACATTTGCTGAAAACTTCGCGAAAAACGTTATAGTGATTAGGGTTAAGCACTGACTCTAAGTGGTTAACTTTAATTTACTTGTTGGTTTGTCACTAGAAATAATGTAAAACGAACGCATCATTTTCTGATGAATCCACTGGGGTGTAGTGGTATAGGCGATAGAGTTCGGTTTCTAAGACCGCGGGTTAGGATCCCACTAATGCCACAGTCAATTTCCCTTTTCACTTCTCAAAAAATAATTGAGGGGACTTAGACTTAAGGTTGATTTCCACTGACGCGTTTTTGGCTACGCACGTGTTAACCAGGGGAACGCACGTAAATTTTAATCGCGTAAACAAAAAATAAGACAAGATAAAAAGGGCCAGTTATTTAAACGGAGTTTAGTCAGTGTTTAACAAAACCGCCGTTCTAAACCATTTTCAGTTTGCCGAACGCTTTTATATAAACACGATTTATCGTGAACAGTTTCATGAAAGCATATGGCGTAGATTAGAGAAGCATTTGTCTTCTTAAAATAACCCACTATGGACGAGATTTAAAATTAAAGTCCAAAGATTTCCTAAACCGCGGTCTAAGTTAGACTTCTTTTAAATATCCGACCCAAAGTGTTGAGATTAAAGGTGAAGTTGAGCGAGGTTCAACTTTTACGCTTACGAGCGACCGTTCATACGTTGCCTTTATCTTATTTGCGCACTTAAAATTTACGCACGTAAAAAATACGCGACAGTGGAAATCAACCCATAGAAAAAGACTAGAAGAGTAGAAAGAGTAGAGACTTAGGAAATTCACGTAAGTGTAGTTAAGAGGGAAGGTTCTAATCTAATGCTGACCGGTCAACGGCTAGGCTCGATTACCAGTAGCCTCCCACGCAGGCGTTTTTAGGGAGCTCGTCTTTCATCCCTCCCCCCAAGAAAGACAAGCTTCCCTAAAAACGCCTGCGTGGGAGGCTAAATTACCAGCCGCTGTTCGGGAAAATGAGCCCGCACTCATCCGCAGACCGGACCCGGGAGACGGCGGAAATGGAGCTTAGTCAACGACATGTTTCCAGAATTTCCCAAGAACGCCTTGCGCGCAGGATGAAAAATTAACTGGTGCCACCTTGCGCGCCTAGTTTCTTCAAATCGAGAAGATTTCGCATATTACCAATACAACGAAAAAAATGTTACTTCTCTGAGCGGTGGAGTCTCCCCGTTTAAAACACTGGCGGGGAATTCACTTTATTACTTCGCGGATATGTCAGTCGTGAAATATTAGCTCGTTTCCGAGTGGTGTAGCAGCTGTTCGTAAGGTCTCTCCTAATTGGTCGCAGGAAACAATGACATGTCTTTCTTTCTATTGTTTTAGTATTGTTTGGGGTCAGGGAAACTCGCCATTGGTGACTTCTCTTCCAGGCAGCGGCTACATCTGTTCCGGGATGGTGGGAGGGGTAATGGCAAACGTTTTAGTTCGAATCGAAGTTTGCGGCCCACTTCTGAGAAAGCCCTGGGATTTTACGCCAACGTGGTGAGTTATTAACCGTGTGTTATCACCCCCGAGGGGGGGGGATACTCCCTGATATGGCCTATACGGGGAAGTGCCACTGGACAGGGTATGGTTTTCGTCCTCTCTGTCCTAAACAGGGTATATAATTTCGCGCAAGTCTGTCCTAAACAGTGTGCATGATTTGTGCGAGTCTGTTCTAATTATAAACAGGGTGTTTCATGCAGGATCGAATTCGTCTTAGTGGAAACAGCGTACTAAACAATGTACTAAAATTGATTGTGTTGTCGTAAACAGGGTATGTGTTTTAGGAATTTTTTGTCCTAAGGGTTTCAAACCCTCAGCGGCTCACCCATACCCAAATATTGTTCAAGTAACCCCTCTCCCCCGGTTATCACGGTGAGTCAATTTTGAAATTAAAATAGTTTGGCATCCAGAATTTCAAGATTCTGCATGCAGAATGTTGAAATTTCAAGATTTGAACTAACCCGAACTAAAACCCCGAATTTGCATATATCCGACACACGATTTCAGCTAGGCCGATAAGGCTTTTGTTTGCAATCACATATTGATATTAAAAATTGACTGAACTAAAATAAGCATGTTAAAATTAAGTTATCTCATAATTGTACCTCTCTGAGCAGATTATTGAATTGCAAGATAATTTTTTTACCGCAATCAAAAGCCATTAAAAACTCTATCCTAACCGGCTTTAGCTGAATCTGTAATCAAAAAAATCTTTGGTGTCTCATAGGCCTTTGATTTATTTGCGTTGTTTTTGGTATAAACAGTAAAGCAGAACAAAGAGAACATAAGTTTCCCCAGTTATTACTGAATAAGTTCACTAATTATATTCGTAGTACCTTCCTGTCTCCACCAAAGCCAAAGTGTTCAAACAAAATGAGTCCTTCGTCTACCAAGAACATGGAGCCATTAACTGAATCTATTTGAACGGGATCAAGACGAAGACCTTGTACGAATTTGAAAGTCTGATTCTTGCCCTCTTTATTTCCTTCTTTATTGTAGTTTATGTCAGTGTAGAAGATCCAGATTCCTGCTGTAACAGTGGCTGTTTTGTAATTACCTAGTTCCTTTAGATTCGGTTTTGACCCTGCAAACTTGCTCGGGTTTGACTGTTCATCGTACAACGTGATGGACATGGCGGATCCAAGCTGCAGTAGATAGACACGGAAATATCAAACAATGCAATGATATTTACCAATTACCTTAAAAATGCCAAGATGTGAGAGGTCGAAGAAAGAAACAGTTTTCATTTGTAGATTAACGTCTCCGAATCACTTCTTTATCAATAATTATTATTTATACGAGGCCTCGTCCCTGCAGTGGTACCCAAACTATAGACGACTAATTTCCACCTATCTTTGCAGAGAAGTTTACTTACCTCTGTTTGCGAAGCGTTGAATGTGGAGAGACAACCTTTCTAGATGTCTATAAAGACACTTGCTACTATTTGTAATAATTCATAGACCAGAGACCAGAACAGTGCATGTCATTCGCTTGCTTTTATTTTATCGCTTTAAGCCTCCAAAAAAGAAATGCTTCAATTTAACTCTCCAGGGATTATCAAAACAGACTAAAGAAGGCTTATACGTACTCAAAATCAGGGCTAAAGGAGGTATGTCTTTAAAAAAGATCCTCGGTGCGCCTAGCTATTGTCAGATACCTATTGACCCTACGGATTACCCTTTGTTCTCGGGACGTGCCATTCGGTCTGCGCTCAGCCACTATCACTGCCAACGCACGATCAAAAGCGATGTTCATTCCACCGGTGAAACCTGCCGTATTAATTCTCATCTAACTTGCACTACTTTCAGTGTTATCTAGTACATGATTTTCAATGTCGCCTTTGTAATCTACAATACATTGGGGGAAACAATACGTCGCCTCAAAGACGGCTTCGATGAGCACAGCAGGCGACATGGTACAGCAATTACATCCATACAGAAGCTTCTTTCTTCCTGTTCTTGCCCGGTTTAGAGCATTCCGTGATTGCGAGTCCTGCGCAAGTCTTGCGTAGCAGGTCAGAGTTGTCGCAATTTTTTTTTTTATTCCCGCGAAACTCGCGCCATTTGACGACAGACCTGACGATTAAATCTGCTTTAGCCTGCGTAGCAAGCGTTTCTGTGCGGTTTAGGAGCAAAGAACGAGGAACTTAGAGTCAAAGACCGCGCGAAAAATGGCGCAAGTAAAGAAAAGAAGTAGTTTGGCCTTTTCTCCGTTCATGGAGGAAGAGCAAAGAGGCTGTGCTGTTGCAATCCACAATGGGGACAAAAGTGTTGAGACACTTCCGTATTATAGCCCTTTTTGCATAGTGGACATACCTATCCCCTTCCCCTGTCTACCCCAACCCCTTCCTCCCAAAATCAATGTTGTATTTTGGACCCTCAAGTCTTTCTTTTACTACTTCAGACAACATTGATTCGGGGGGTGAGGGGATTTAGGGCGTTTATAAGGAATGAAATAATAAATGAATTAAATGTTTGACAAAAGTCACTGATTTTAGCTAAATAGAGGTTTGCAAAAATTGCGCAACGTTTGTTAACGGTTAACATTCAACTCAGTGATAACGTTTCATGCTGTTAAGGAAGGTTTTGATTGTGAACAGCTGTACTATACTTTGTGCAAGACTTTTCGGTGAACTTTGATCACGGATGACAATCATCCGACCGGATATCGTCTAATCTACAGTTTATTGACAGCTAAATGCATTTATTAAATGGATGTATCTATTTTAAAATCGACTACAGTACGTATTTCAAGGACGTAACCCAATACTACTATTGTCAATTTAGTCCGGTGTCCGCGCCCTTAATAGAGGTGTTAGCTGAATAGGGACTCGTTACAAAGAGAAGTATCAGACGTTACTTTCGGGACCCGGCTTAGTGTTCGCTTAATAGAGGGTGTCCGCTTAATTGGCAGGGGCACCTAACGAGAATATACTTCAAAACCACTTAAACATAGTATTGTTAAACGTATTTTAGAATTTAAATGATAGATATAGGCATCTTTCGCCTTTAAATCGGCTATGTCACACTACGTGCTATCTTTTTAAAAACCAAAAACGTTTTTCGCATAAATTGAATTCAAGAAAAAATGGTCCAGTTATTTGTTTCAAGATATATTTAGGCACTGAAACTAAATTTCCCACCGTCTATTGCAAGAGATGGCAATGGTGGACATGAATCGAAACTTGCCAAGATTGGCCGAATTTTTCATCCCTGGTGTTTTTTTATGCTATCAGGGGCAAGCAACGAGAATGTAGTTCAAAACCACTTAAACATAGAACTGTTAAACGTATTTTAGTATTTAAACGGTAGATATAGGCATATTTTTATCCCCTAAAAATTTTTCATCTGTTCGGATTTCTTAGCTGAAAGTCCAGTGATCCGAAAATTATAGGGATCAAAACTTACCTTTTCGAAAATTTCAGCTAGAAAAAGGGCCCCCGAAAATTCTAGCTGACCCTTTTAGGGTAAAAATCCGTCAAAAATGGGCAATTATATCAATTTTAGATGTTCGAAAATCCTAGGAGAGGCAGGCAAGCATGACATTTTACAACAAATGTTCCGAAAATTGTAGATCTCAAATCGTCTTCCGAACAGATATTTTCGGAAAATTAACGTTACGTGCCCCCTAATTGGGGGTCCGCTTAATAGAGGTTTCACTGTATATTACAGAAACTTTGATTTGCAAAACAACTATACTCACTTTAGCTTGCACACGCACCAATGTTATATAGCTTTATCTCTGCAGAAGTTAACACCGTGAAGTCTCCAGTTGAAGTAAACTAACTAAGATGAAAACGCTAAATTTATAGTTAACGAAACGTGCCAAAAATTATAACGTATTTCCTATGCGGACATTACATAAAAGGACAGGAAATGTAGCGGTTGGCTTATCAATTAAAAACCATTAATGCAGGCGATAATCGATTTATAATAACTACCGTTAGCATGTTCGAGCAATTAAACGAGGAATTAACGACAAGGAATTACGTTTCAAAACCAACAAACATTTTCCGTAATTTGTCCTCCTACTGACTGGGAATAATAAATATATTTAATGCTGATCGAGTATCATAACTGTATCTGTTTTCCAATTCATATTTAGGACCTAGAAATGTAGTACTTTTAACATTCGACCAGTAATTTTAATTCAGTGTGGTAGTCTCATCAACTTCTTTCTCTTAGTTTTAAAAATCTGATGAGGCTGCTCGGTTCATGGTACTGCACAAACTGTTAGCAACTTTGTGGCTGTAAAATAAATTAGTATCACCGGCAAAGATAATGTTTTATGAATTGAATCTTTATTTTCATTCCGATTCCTTTAGAAATTTTTATATAACGCATTTTTTGTTTTCCTTGAATTTAGGATTCCTTTTGATATCCAAGGTACTCTCTGCCCGTTATCACTTTTCTTTTTACTGGGTCTCGTTAATGGTACGTTTTTGTTCAACAACTGATATTATTTAGTGTAAACGTGATCTTAAAACCGTCTTACCATAACCATCAATATTCAATCTTCACATTCCAAGTCTTGGCAGAGGCAATTTAGCATTTTATCATCAATTAACCTAAATTTGTTTTTTGTTACCCTTTTGACGTTTGAGCTTTTGCAAGCAAGTTACCCATTGCTGCGAACACTAGTAAGTGATCCGAAAGATCTCACGGTAAAAAGGATACCACATTTATTGTTCTCTTCTATTTTGTGTACAAATATATTATCAATCAGGGTCGCATTAGTATTTGTTATTCTTGCTGGCCTTATGATTATGGGTAAAGAGATGAAGAAAAATATTTGTAATGAAGTTATGAATATATGAAAATCATATAATTGTGTGAACTGCGGAGTGAAGAATTAAATGAAGGAAGATCATCGCAGCTATACGCAACTTTTGGAGTTGCGAAAAGAAAGCCTGAAAAAAATAATTCAGGCTTGTACGGGATTCGAACCCTTGACCTCTGCGAAACCAGTGCAGCGCTCTACCAATTAAGCTAACGTGCCAACTGGGAGCAGGTTCCAGCTGCTTTCAGTTGGCTTGTCAGCTTAATTGGTAGAGCGCTGCACCGGGTATCACAGAGGTCAAGGGTTCTAATCCCACTTATGTCCAGGTTTCGCACGTAGCAGCAAAAATTGCGATTTTTCTTGTGCGATTTCCCGCAGTTCTTTGTCATGCGAGTAAGGTTCACTCCTCTCGTGTTTGTGATCACTTATAAAAGCCGTTTGCCGATTTCACCAAATTTGCTATACTCCAAAAAGTTTCCGCTTTACTTGCCATTTTGGCATTTCGCTGTCAGCGCAGTTAAAGCATATCTACAAGCAAAAGCCAACGCAGCCAATCTTTAAATAAAGGTTTGTTATCTAATGGTTCGAGTTATATATTCGTGAGATTCCATTGTATTTCTAGTTTCATGTTATGCCTTCTTTAACCTAAAAGTTTTTGAAAAAGGGATCAACATCATTAATGTATTTTTCAACTGGTCAAAGATATTTATTCACATTACATCTTGGCCTTTTTCTGAGTGCCCAAGAAGTACATAAGACGGAATCCATCCGGAAACATTGACATTGAGTAATTTCAATTTTCAGTGGACAAAAACCTTGTGCCAGAATAATTTAAACAATATCGCATTCTTTTTTACATTTTTCAAGGCCTATAGGGCAAATGACAGCAACTAGGAAACTCTGTATAGTTCAACTGGAAATACCGCGGAACCTTTCGACTAATCAAAAATCCGGATTTGGATTTGCCGAAAGGAACGGGAAATCCGTTTTCAATTCTAATTTAGGGGCCTTAGATTTCTTAATTTCGAAAACAAAGGCTCCTCTTAGTTTTCGTTGACGAAAACTAACACCCCCCCCACAAAACCAATCCGAAAAATATACATGTATATGAAGTCGAATTACGACCGTTCAAAGGCTATAATCCGTAAAACAACGAAAAACTATAATCTGCGTGCTGACATTCTTGAAATTTAAGACATTCTACCATCGCTACGATGATCATGAAGTCGAATATCTGTGAATATAATTTCAGTCAGCAAACTTGAACAGAATGTTTATCATTATATCACACTTCAGACACAAAACTTTTTTTCACAATGGTCTACAATCTGAGTAGTTACGTATTGCAGCTTCTGAGTCGGTAAAGTGAGAATCTAACAAGTGTGCATCTTGAGTGACTGAGTGGCTTGAATGGCTTTTGGCAATTGCGAAGTCGTACGTTTGGCTTGCCATGCACGGGGTGTAAACAAACCAACCACGTGACAGACAAGTCACACGAACTAAAAGCCATGCAGGAAAGAAACTTCTACTCGCAGAGTAATGGTGCGTCGGTTGCTTAGTTTAGTGGCAGTCTGGTAATCGTATATATCTAAAAGTCTTAAAAGAATAGATCACGTTCAAAGGTATCACTCGTGTGTAAAGTAAATATTACAGCGGAGCTCTCTCACGAAGCGCTCGCAACGGAGCAAATGGGTAAGAAAATTTGGTAATCTTAGCCGAGAAAGGAAACCACGTATATCCTCTTGTAATTACTTATCTAATCACGTATAATCCTTCCATTGATTTTGCACTGAAAGAAACGTAGTCTATGATTAAGTCTAATGATTGCGAGTCGGACTTTGTCGAGTCTTTGATCCAGTCATAAGTTAGGGCAATGAGTTAGAGCTTGTTTCTACATAAGTTGAGTTCTGTTCCTAACTCCGAAGTGCCGTTAACTCAAGAATCGACCGAGCAAAAGCAAACACTGAGTCAACACTAAGTGTAGAAAACTCCCAAAGCATAGCTTTAGAAAGAAAATACCTGATTGCTTACTTCAGATCCTTTCACAGACACCTATCCTGATCTACCTTCCTTATTAGGACAAATGAAACATATTCACAATCGTCCATAACTCACCCACTCATTATCTTAGCCTGCGAAGCAAGCGTTACCAATCGAGCTATTGTGGGAAAGTTAGAGCAGGAGCAAAAAAGAGGCATTTTTTTTTGCTCTTGTCCCAACTTTCTCGACGAACTCGCACGGAAACGCTTGCTATGCAGGCTATTATTACCGGGGCCCAGCCGAAGGCTGGCACCGGTCTTAAAATGCAGACGGTCCGTTTTTTCGGGCGTCTGGAAAAGCGGGAAACCGGAATCCGGAATCCGGAAAAGGAACGGGAATAGGAACAGGAACAGGAACAGGAACAGGAACTGGAACCGGAGAAGGAACCGGAATGGGAAGAAAAACCTATATAAAAACAGGGACAACATTTACTTTAATTGAAGTTAATCTGAATTTAATTCCTGTCCAGATATACGAATGTTAAGGGAGAATATGGAATAGTAACCGGAATAGGAAGGGGAATATAAACAGTGTATAGAAATATGAAATGAAAAAGATATAATCGTGATATAAATAAAAAGCCAGGGAAATAATTATAAAGAAACAAGAAAACACCCCTGAAATGTTAATCTAATAAACCTTTCTTTATCTTTAGCCTATGACACATTAGGGCCATTTATACGAGGAAAAATAAGACCAGTCTTACATAAGACGCGTCTTAAATAAGACGTGAACTGTACCATTTATACGAGCATGTCTTATCTAATACTGAGACGCGTCTTAGCTAAGCCGCGTCTTATTTTGGACGAAATGTGCCGTTTATACGGAAAGTTCGCGTCATGTTTAGGACGCGTCTTATTTTTCCTCGTATAAATGGCCCTATTGTGTTTTCGTGTCAAACATAGCGAACTTAAGCAACGAGAACGCTGACCGTCGCTTGATGGAACGCTTCTGTCTCACACAACGAATCTGAATTCTTCCTCTTACCTTCCACTGTGCGAATTTGTTGAGTCAGAGGACTGAAAGACAGAAAACATCCACTTCCAGTTTCCATTTTTAATGTCCTGGACGTCAACGTTGTGGTTGCTTATTAAGGTCCCTATTGCACTCGGTTGAGGTAGATGAAGTGCTGGCTGGGATGGGGATGGGGGGGGTAGGGGGAGGAGGCACGTGTTAATACCCTTT